AAACAAAAAAACAAAAAAAAAAACAAAAAAAAACTAAACAAAAAACAACTAGTCACAAAACCAAAATGGACAACGCTTTTTGCAGGATACTGACTGAAACTATTTTGGGAATATTTACTGGATAGATGGTGTACCCTGGGATTTTTTTTTGTAGTCGAGTGACCTTGCTTATTAGACCCAAAGCTACAACCCCAAATGTAGCAGTAGTAGTTCTTCTTATTATTATTTCTTATCCTTCCTCCTTTTCTGTTTTTTGTTGTATACACATTTCCTTTCCTGTTCCAACCCCAGAACTAAGATCAGAATTGGCTTCATGTCATCTTCCTCTGACATTTAAAAAAATCTAGATCGCACATATATTACATAGATAAAGCTCTTCATAATGTGTGAGCTGTCACAATTGTTTGTATTTCTTTAAGACATCGGCTACAAGGAATCCCTTCATTGGGTCTATCGGAACCTTTTCCAATCAATCCGAGGGCTCCAACTACAACTGGAATTAGCGATGTTTTCATATTCCACATTTCTTTAGATTTCCACTTCAATGTGCTTGTATTTTGATATCTCTGTTTGAAGATCTTCAAAGATACAATACAAGATGCAGGCACTATATTATTATCGTTTTTATTCCTTTAGTTTCTGGTGTATAATCATTTCTTTCTGGGTCCCAACCAAAGACCTTGTGTCAGAAATGACATCATGGCATTTTCCACTGAACAGTTTGAAAAAGAAAATAATGGCAATCATTTTACATAGATAAAGCCCTTCCTATGGTGTGGGCTGTACCTATGAGAACAATTTTTGTATTTCTTTAAGGCATGGACTACCAGGGAATCCTTCAATGAGTCTATTGGATTATTTTACAGTCAATCCGAGGGCTCCAAATACAACTGGAATTCTTAATGTCTTCATGCGCCAGATCTTTGAGATTCGATTTGAAAGTTCTTGTATATTGATAGTTTTTTGAACAGCCTCCATGTCTATACGAAGGCACATTTTGTCATTGTGGTCTCTAATCTTGATGTCTGGGCGATTACCTTTGATTGTGCTGTCTGTGTGTATTGTAAAGTCCTATTATTATTATTATTATTATTATTATTATTATTATTCAACGAAGATATGTCTTATAGAGTCCACGAAATACTTGTTTTCGCTTTTACTGATATTTTTTAAATCGTATCGTATATGGCGGCAATTGATTTTATTTTGGAGAGAATCGTCGATATTACTGTCAAGAGATGAACATAAATCCTTTTGACATGTCATTCACAGAATAGTAAACACATCTGTTGAATACGTTTTCTGCTTGAACAAAAACAAACTCGCCTCAGTAATCTTTTTAGACAGATAATATTCTTTCTGTCTGCGATTCTAAAAATTAACAAAATCAAAGAGATTATTCCTGATGTTGAATTGACCTTCCATCCTATTTTCCAGTTGCTATGCATGGGGAAGCCCAAAATACAACTTACAGGTCGGGAATGCTAAAATCAAGCAGGTACAGAAATTTAAATATCTGGGAAGTGTTCTAACAGAGGACGGAAAGTGCAACACTGAGATCCGAAGACGTATTGTGATGGCCAATGATGCATTTCAAAAGTTAAGAAAAGTATTAAGAGAGAGGAAAATTTCATTGGAAGCAAAAAAAGAGAACTGAACTGTTATGCGATATCTCTTCTCATATATAGCAGCGAATGCTGGACATTTTCCTCAAAGATGAAGAAGAGACTCGAAACAACAGAAATGTTGTTCTACAGAAGGATGCTCAGGATAACATGTGAACGACAACGAGGTTTTGGAGATAATGGAAACAAAAAAGAAAACTTAACACCAAGAAGAGGCAGTTGAAATTTCTTGAGCACATAAGGAGGAAAGGTGGCTTGGAAAATCTGATACTCACGGGATAGACTGAGGGAAAGAGGGACAGAGGAAAGCAGCGCGTGACACACTTAGTGGGCTTGAGCAAATGGAAGGCAAACCAGGGAGAAATAACAAAAAGATAAAAAAATAATAAGAGCTACAAGGGACAGGAAGATGAGTAGGGCCATGATCGCCTACGTCCTGAAGGGACACAGTGCATCGTGCTAGGGCGGTCATGTGATACTTAATTTCTAGGCTATACAGAGGATACATTTTTGTCGACACCGCGAAGAGAAGATTCATTCCTAACACGCGCGTGTATGCAGCTTTTTGAAATGTGATGTGCCGGACTTGTGAGTAAAGACAACTTTGGTATTAATGACTAACTTTCCTTTTCCTGGTCGGAGGGAATGCAAGTAACGCATGTTTATTCGTGACCAGCATTTTCGCTTTCTAGGCAAATGAAATCTTCATCCAGGTTTTTCCTGACTTTCACTAAAGCCGTCTTTATTCATTTTCATCTTAAATGTTTGCTTAAATGTTTACCGATATTACTGAAGCCACGCACATGTATATGATAACATAAGAAACAGATCACTTCAAAGCAACATTTTTAAAAGCAAATTTGAGTAATCTATTTCTGCCTCTTCAGTGTTTCTTTTCATAAACGCAATTTTCGATGAAGCAATTTTTTCCAATTTTTCATATTCGTCAAAAAATGTTTTTTGACGAATATGAAAAATTAGAAAAATTGCTTCACAATGCGACGATTAAGAAACATTAATTTTTGAATAAGTAAGGCATTAAGGTTTTGAAATTCGATGCTCCAGCACGATCTTAGGCGTTACCTAAATGACACCGTGCGCGACACCTTCAGACAAGGATCAGGACCATATCATATTCACCAGCAAGAGGAGAAAGCTGGAATGGTATGAACATGCAAAATGGTGCAGCAACCCTCCAATTGTAATATTATTATTATTATTATTATTAATCATTTCACCCTAGGCAAAGCGGAAATGCCACTAGTGTGCAGGGGTTACAGGGAGTGAAAGTGAGCCAAAAGAAAGGGTATAGAGAGGATTGAGAAAAGAATAAGAGGTCACAGGATTCAAGAAGACGGAAGATATCAATTGACATTGCATTTAAATTTTTGAAGATTGTAATTATCAGGGAAGCATTTAAACGAAAGGGATCTACACAGGCGGGAAGTGCGAGAAAAGAAACTGTTGGAGTAGAAGCGACGGTTGCCTTTATCTATTTCGACACTAAAACGGTGGAACCTTCCTACAAGACAAGACTTTTGACAAAAGAAGAGTCGGATGAAAGGAAAAATGTTTTGACAACATCAATGATTGGACTAGCTGATTTTTATTGGACAAAGAATCTACATTTTAACCTGTATCGAAATTTGGAGAACAATTTTAGCTTAGGATCATATTTCTGATGCGTTTTAAAAGCAATCGAATTTATTTATCCATTCATTTGATTCCAATTACAGTCCTGTTCTGTTAAATTTTCCTATTTGGAACCTCAACTAATTTAAGCGTAGTATTAGACTGACAGTTCAGTCTTACCATTTTACGGTTTGTTTGCCTTAAATTCTTTGTTAACAATTTTTTTCTGACACATTTTGCGCTTGTGGAAGTCACTTCCGGTTTCTCAATTTCCTGTCAACTAAAATCTTCAAAAAAATTTATGCAACGTCAATCATCATTCTCTGTCTCTGTAAATACTTTTATTTTATTGAGCCCCTCTCTCTCCCTCTCTCTCTCTCGCTGCTCAATAATTTTTCTTCCGTTTCTTTCCCACTTAGTTTCTTTATCGCCTTTACTTGGAATGAAATGATTAAAAATAAATTGAAAAAAATTCACATCACACTCAAAATTCTTATTAAGAAAAATATGGCCATCCTTCTGTTTTTACCTTAAATAGTTTATATAAAAAAATTAATTATATTTATATAACATTATTTACATTGTTATATAGGCACGTGACCGAGTGCTTAGAAAGATCGTTTTCTTATCATGAGACCCGGGTTCGAATCTCATCATGTCGATTTGTCAGGAAGTGAGTGAGATTGGGTTGACAGAACCGGCTAGAATGAAGTTACAATTGTGAGCATACTGGTCGTGTTCAGTCTATTGGTCAGGCTAGATAACGCGTACCCTACTAGAAACTGCAACTAAGGTCCGCTCAGTATAGTTGCAGTATAAACCACAGGTAGGCTCTGTTAGTATTGAAATGTGCCTGAAATGGGGATTCGAATGTCTTCGCCACTTCCATTGTACGCACTGTTGTCCTCGTATTTATTGTCATATTCACCACCTTTCGGCTTGAAATTCCAACGTATATCACCCGAAGAAGGCCGAAAAGTTGCGTAAAAGGCAATAAAGTTGAGGACGTTTCGGCCCTCTTCAGGAGATATACATTGGAATTTGGAGCCGAAACGTTGCGAATATGGAAATAAACATGAAGACCACGGTACTAACGATGTCAATAGTTTCAATACATAATCACAAAAATATAGACGGATATTTCTATAAATAGTTTTGCGATCAAATGTTTATAATTTTATCTATCAGAAAGCGAAAGTTGTTTATTGATTGTGATTTTTAAGAGATTAAAGTTTTCTAAAGACTTACGTTAGTGCTTCGGGATCTTATATCTAAACAAGTCATAAGTTTTCCTCCATATTTATATCTTTTAGTTATCACTAGACTGCCCGTAACTCGTTGGGTCACAGACGGTTCTGCTTATAAAATACTGAAGTTGATTTCAACATTAGAAACTGTCTGTTTGAAGGAAGTTGAAATAAAAATACTTACTGCATAAACAACTCGTATTTTCAAATCTTATTCCCTTAAAATATTTTATAAATAAGATTAAGTTAAAAATATTTTTTAATATGCCAAAATATTTTAAAATCATATTCACTTGAAAACATTTTTTAAATATGGCAAAAATTAATTTTATTAAAAAAATATTTAAAATATTTTGTTTAATGAAAGCCGAAATACAAATAATCACACACGCAAACACAGAGAGGTTAAAAGAGTGAGAGGTGGAAAGAAAGAGAGGTGGAAAGAGAGAGGTGGAAATACAGAGTTGGAAAGATAGAGGTGATGAGAGATGGAAAGTCAGAGAACTGGAAAGAGAGAGGTAGAAAGAGAGATGTGGAAAAACAAAGGTAGAAGGACAGATATGGAAAGACAGAGAGGTGAAAAGACTAAGCTGGAAAGATAGGTGGAAAGAGAGAGAAGTGGAAAGAGAGAGGTGGAAGGACAGATGTGGATAGACAGAGAGGTGAAAAGACAGAGGTTGAAAGACAGAGGTGGAAAGAGACAGGAAGAAAGAGGTGGAAAGAGAGAGAAGTGTAAAGAGAGAGGTGGAAAGAGAGATGAGGAAAGACAAAGGTAGAAGGACAGATATGGAAAGACAGAGAGGTGAAAAGACAGAGATGGAAAGAGTTGGAAAGATAGAGAGAGAGGTGGAAAGAGAGAGAAGTGGAAAGAGAGGGTGGAAAGAAAGTGGTGGAAAGAGATAGGTGGAAATACAGAGTTAGAAAGAGAGAGGTAGAAAAAGGTGGAAAGAGAGAGAAATGGAAAGAGATAAGTGGAAAGAGAGAGGTAGAAAGACAGAGAGGTAAAAAGACAGAGGTGGAAATACACAGTTGGAAAGAGAGAGGTAGAAAGAGGTGGGAAGAGAGAGAAGTGGAAAGAGAAAGGTGGGAAGAGAGAGGTGGAGAGAGCTGGAAAGAAAGAGAAGTGGAAAGAGAGAAGTGGAAATCGAGAGGTTGAAAGACAGAGAAGTAGAAAGAGAGAGGTGGAAGGACATATGTGGAAAGACAGAGAGTTGGAAAGACTGTGAATTGGAAAGACAAAGGTGAAAAGAGAGAGGTTGGAAGAAAAAGAGATGGAAACAGATAGTAGGAAAGAAAGAAAATACGTACGATTTACAGACGATATCGATTGGCACACTTGTGTTTCTCTTTTCGTACCCGCTTGCTTCTTCGCAGTTTTACCAAGGTGAAGGTGAAATAATTAAAAATAATGGAAAATATTTTCCCTTTTTCGATTAAAGATAACAATTTTTTTTTTAAATTTCTTTTTGCTATTTAAACGATATAAAAATATTTTCTCGCTAAAAATAAGCAAAATCAAAGGGCACCAGCAATTTTGATATATATATATATATATATACATTTCTGTACGAGTGTGCGTGTTTTGTATTTCTAAGGTTCTTCCAGTTTAACTTTTGGCGGGTTGAAAGGAGGACTCAAACAGTCTGTAATCATCCCAGGCGCTTTCCGTAAATCTAATAGCCATTTTCTAAGGGTTCATTGCTAATATCATTTCTATGCGTTCTAAGTTGTATGCTGCGAAAATAATGGAAATTCTAAACTTTAAGGTAGTAAACTTTGAAGACTGTAATGTTCGCTTGCCATTAAAAAAAAAAAAATCTTCAATAAACGGCAGTTGCTGTTGCGACAAAAAAATGGCAGAATTCTATAGAATATTTGGCTCTTTTAACACATCAAGTATTTATTTTATGACTACTGCATAACTTATGGTACCAAAACAGAATTCTTCCTGGATGGACGAGCTTACGTTACAGCGCAATATCTTATAATTGGCTCTACGTTTAACCAATTCCAATATACATTAGATATTCCATTATACTGTCTGGAAGTATCTTCTCTGGGCGACAGGTCAACCAGTCAACGACAATCTGACTGTTTCTCTCCATCTTAGAGCTCAGCTCATCATAAATGAAAGACTATAAAATATTTTATTTAAAAAAAATCAGCTGACAACTTTCAGCGCAATGTAATATCTGAAATTTATTGCCCTGTTCTTTTGGCATTAATAGCATATTCCTATGTGAGAACAGTCAATGAGAATAGCATTTCAGATGTTAAAAACCATGATTTATTTTGAGAAGTGTACCCTGCTTTAAGTAACTGACCTGAAAAAATACACAATTGCCCCAAAATTTGAATTCCCCCTTTGGACTTCGAAGAATCGCCTAAAATTTGAAGGTTGCCTGCCTTTGCTTTTCTTGCAAGTTTTTTTTTTTAAATATTATTATTATTGTTGTTGTTGTTGTTGTTATTTTTGCTGTTGTTTTTGTTATTATTATTATTATTATTCAACAACAACAAAAAAAAAAACAAAAAAAAAAAACAATAAACAACAGCAACAGCTTATTTTAACCCGCGAAGATTTCAGGTTTTTCCTGGTTTCATTTTCTGATGAATCTTAATTCTTTAGGGAATGAGTGAGTAAGGTCCTGGTAAGTTCTACGACAATAAATTACCTGTAGAAATTCCCCTATCTTACCGTTAAAGATTTGACGTTAACGACTTTAACAAAATATAAAATGTCAACCGTAGATATCAATGCTGATCATTATTTTAAGAAGTGGGTACAAATGAAAAAAATGTTAATTGTCAACATTTTCCACTTAACTGAAACAGACGTTAAACACTTCTGCATTTCCTTCTTTTTTTCATTTTCTCACTGAAGCCGTGTAGTATCTATCCCCCTCTTTTCTCTCGATCAAAACGGAATAGTCCATTATTTATGACGTGCTGGCAGGACATATTGGTCGTGCTGACTACCAAAGGGAGAGACAAACACAATGATAATAGGATAAAAATAAAGACATTAACACATTACGGAATAATCTTTCCTTAAATGTTTAGCTACCGTGATCGCTTATCGTAAGATTAGGGCTGGCGAATTTAAATATATTCTGTATCCCCATCTCTAAAGAAAATTGGAAGCCATGCTCTAGTGGACTGGATAGTTTTAGCCTCATAGCTTAGTCGAAGTAAGCAAAAACAATGTCTAAAACTTACTAATTATTAAACCTAGAGTGTGTGACCAAAATTTTGACGTATATTGTATACAATTGAACAAAGACTGTTTATTCTTAATTTGTTTACCAAAGAAAAAATATAACCAGTCACAAATCAGATAATTTTAAATGAGAAATAAAAGATTGCTTTAGAATATTTTCTGGCTTTTCCATAGAATATAGAAAGCAACAATTCAAAGGATATTGGATAAAATATCCAAAAGTATATTTCTTTTAAATAAGTGGTTAAGAAATATAGCACTGTGTTATTTTATCTTCCTAAAGAGTTTCTTCATATATTTAATAAAAACCAAATAAACCCATTCCTGTAAAAAATTTCTTAGCATTTTAGATTTTTTCTGCCTAATCTATCTTGCTGGATAATGTCTAATGATAGGACTCTAGGTAACCGTAGTGATATGTAAATAACATCGTAATTATCATAGCTTAGACATAGAGACTATATAATTGTTCAATCAGTAAGGGGAAGGGCAGAATATAATACGCTTCTCTTCCAATAATATGGGTTCAAGAACCAGGAAGCCATCTTCCAATCAGTAGCTCTCCATCGGGAAGGGTCTGGGTTTATTGAACGACACCCAGGGTGTTCCCAAAATTGAGCATTGACGCGGAACGTCATGTTTTTCTGCGGTGTTGCAGTTAAACCCACTTTAAAACGACGAGGGTGCATTGAACAATACACAGCATATAACATGCTATAGTATGTTGTCTGGTAATGTTGGCTCCTGTACCAATACTATTGATTCCAGTCAGAGGGGTTCCTGCCCACTAGCGGTTCCTCTCCTTAGGGAGAGAGTGGGTTTATTGCCTGTCGCCTGGGGCGTTCTTCAAATGGAGAAATGTCGAGGGGACTTCGAGAATTTTTCCACCGTATTGTAGATAAATCTACATTAAGCTCGCACTTTTGTCCCATTGCGTTTCGTCGTCGGCGCGCGTCTAATTACCGGATAAGCGAGGTTAACGACTACCGCTGGAGAGAGAAAATATGAATACAATAATACTTCTCAAAAAAATAAAAAATAAAAAAAAATAATGAGCGCTAATGAGTTTCAAATTCCTAGCTTAATAGAAGTTAATTAAACCAAAAAAGGCACGGAACTTACTAATTATTAAATGCAGAATTTGACTTCTTTTGACCCAAGAAATAAATCAATTAATGTATTAGGTCATCACATAAGTTCTGTCCGAATTTTAACTTTTTGTTAAAATGAACGAAATTTACAGTGTTTTATAATGTCTAATGGAGCTGAACATTATTTTTATGTTTAGATGCATTTAAACTGATCAAATTTTATTTCAGAGAACAATAAAATTAAATTTTGTTTGATTAAAACCCTGCAAACATGGAAGTACCCAAGAATCATTTGAGGCACATAATGCTTTATGAGTTAAAGAAAGGAAACTCAGCAGCCGAAACGGCTCGAAACATTCGCTCATTTTATGGAGAGGAATGTGTGAATGAAAAAACTTGCAGAAGATGGTTTGCAAAATTCAGAGGTGGAGATTTTACCCTTGAAGATGAAGATCGAACCGGACGTCCTGTTGAGTTCGATGAAAAGCTTCTTGAAGCAGCCCTTGAAGAAAATCCTGCTTTATCAGTTGAGGAATTGGCAGTGGTTCTCAGTTCAAACCATACAACTGTTCATCGTCATCTTCAACGACTTGGAAAAGTTCCTAAACTTGGAAAATGGGTGCCTCATGAATTGTCTGAAAACAACCTCAAATCCCGAGTTGACATCTGCTCTTCTCTCCATTCTCGCCAACTTGTTTCACCTTTTTCGCATAGACTTGTGACTGGCGACGAAAAATGGATCTTTTATCGAAATGTTAAGTGTTGTAGACAGTAGCTTGGTAAAAAGGAAGGACCCCAGACACATCTGAGAAAGGGAACTTCATGGGCAAAAGGTTCTTCTTTCAATATGGTGGGATCGCCAAGGAATAATCCACTTTGAATTCTTACCACCTAATGCAACAATTAATGCTCAAATATACTGTCAGCAATTAGAACGTTTGAACCAAGCTTTGAGTAAAAAAGACCTACACTAGTGAATCAAAAAAAAGGTGATGTTTCATCAGGACAATGCGCGACCCCACACAGCAAGAATCACGTCAGAAAAGATTGAAGAACTTGGTTGGGAGAAAATTCCTCATCCAAGGTCTTCTCCCGATCTTGCTCTTTCAGACTACCAGTTGTTTCGTAGCTTACAGAATCATTTGGAATAAGAGCTTTTGTAACACAGGAAGAGGTTAAAACTGACATTTGTGAGTTCTTCGAATGAAAGCCAAAAGAATTTTACAGTAATGGAATTAGTAAGCTTGTTAATAGATGGAAGGAAGTCATAGATAATCAGGGAAAATAGATTGTTGATTGAATCTGTAATTAAATGTAACATTTGGTCACTTGTTTTCTTTATTCAAAATTCGGACAGAACTTATGGGATGACCTGATATAAACGGTAAAAGTTTTCTTGTAATTGGAGAATTTTAAAACATCATATACTATAAATGGATTAAAACTGCACTCTCAATTTCCAACGGATTGTTCTTATCTACAGCTAAGCCACGTCTCTTCAGAAATCACGGTAATTATATTAAAGAAAAAGAAGCTATGGAGGGACATAACAGATTATAACCTACATATTTGAAATAACCAATAATATACTAATTGCTCACTTTGTGGAAATAATGTTAAATAATTGTTTAACAGACTATTATTTTTTAGAGAATTGTATTTCTGCTCTGACTTCCTCTTTTTGACCTTTGAGGTCAGATACAGGAAACAAAGGAAGTCGATTGTGACTAAAACTGGCGTGAGATTGTTAGATATAGAAAGGGAGTCGAGTCTTACACGTTGAGGAAAGTAGATGTGTTCACGTCGTGTCTAGAAGCGGCTTCGCAGTCGCTCGTTAGAAAATGTACACGTTGATATGTTGAATAAAATAGATAAGTTTAAGTTGCTTTGTTGATGACTTTTGGACTCCAAAAACATTTCAGTACCAAAACCATTTCGACACCCGGCCGGGAGAAGAAAGAGAAGATCCAACAATGTCGCCCAAGACCAAGATCCCAAACAAGGGGGTTAATACAACATTGTCTTAATTGGCGCAGTTATCAAGACACTCCCAGAAAAGGGGGCTATACAGTAATAGCCTCTGTTGTATAGACAGTTCAAGATTTTCTCGAGATCTTGGTAACATTAGCTTCCTTTGGCGTATTCAACTTAGAAACAACAAGAAAATCAGTCGTATACATAAAAGCCCAAGATTACCCATGCATAAAATATATCCTAAGTTTATATATAATACAAATAACCTTGTGGATTTTGTATATATATATATATATATATATATATATATATATATATATATATTGAACAATAAAAAATATTAAAAAATTAAAATCTTCAGACACACTGGGTTGTAGATTAATATTCTTTCGTTTTTTTTATTATTATTTCATTTAGATTCCTCGACGAATTTCGGCCAAAATGGTCATCATCGGGAGAAGAAATATTTCTCTTTGCTGGTAGCAGTAAACTACAGAAATGAAGGTCTTGATGGAGAAAATGAACTTTTGTCTGTAGTCTTCATTTGTTTTTTTTCTTTTCAACATGAATCTTTTATCATTCCTTGTGTTGGTCAAACAGTCTCTTTTAAGTTGTTATTTGAGATAAGAGCTGGATGGATCTATGCTTCTCTGAATTCCTTTGGTCAGTTTGTCAGTTTTATTGCTCCTGGAAAGAGGGTGTGTCTCTGTTTAGAGTTTGTATGTGTGTTATTTGGTTCTTAGGGAGTGAGTGAGTATGATATGTGTAAGCGTGTGTATTGCTGTGGGTGTGTGTCATCATTTGGCTCATTAGGGAGTGAGTGAGTATGATGTGTGTAAGTGTGTATATATTCGTGTGGGTGAGTGTATAAGTGTGAGGCTTCAACACTTCCGTAAGCATGTCTGTCTTGTGTGGGTGAGAAATGTGTGTAGGTTTTGATTTGTTGATTCATATATTAGTACTATCTATATTGTTAAATTTATGGTTTAGCCCGGCTGGATATTGTGTTTTTGGACGTTAATTTTCATGGAACCCTAAAATCATTCTAATGTTATCTGCTCTGAATTTTTCTATTCTTTCAGTTATAGTGAATTTGGCATGGGTTTTGAAATCGTGTTTTTCTAGGCGGAAATGTTGTTCTACAGGTAATAATTTTTTTATGGGGAGTCGACTTAATTCGATTGCGATAATTATTAATTCTGTAGTGAAAGGACCATTCAGATTTTCCTACATATTGTTTCTGACATAGTGTGCATTCTTGGAGGTAAATTATGTTATGACTTCTACAATTAGAATAGTGATAGATTTTGAAAGTAGATTTAGTGATTGACCTAGTGAATGAATTCGTGTGTTTAATATGGTTGCAAAATAAACTTCTTTCGTTGTTACATGGTTGGGAAAATCCTGTTGTTTTTGTTCTTAGTTTATTACGGATTACCTCGTCCCCTGAAATGTGGTTACTACCTATGATTTCTTTTAGGTTCTTAGGTCTACGATATGCAAGAATATATATATATATATATATATATATATAAACAAATATTCCCGTGTTAGCATTTGTTAATGAATTCTCATAAAGAAAGAGAATCAGTTAAATAATAAATAGACAGAGAAAGGAAGCTACTCCTATGGAAGGTAGCGAATTAAGGTAAGAAGTAAGGACTAAACATCAATTGCATGAAGGCAAAATGCATGTTTGTAAGCAAAAGGGTCAGCCCAACATGCGAATTACAAATTAGGGATAACAAAATCAAACAAGTACAAAAATTTAAATATCTGGAAGTGTTTCAACACAGGATAGAAGATGTGACACTGTCATCCGAAGGCACGTTGGGATAGTTGGTTTGATTTTTTTTATTTATCGGCATACCAACACCTCTATGGGTTATTCAATGACGAAGTCAAAATATTTTGTACCCAATTTTATGCACCCCAACTACAAATTTTACATATAATTTTATACTTTCAGAGCAAACGAATATATTTTAGATACATAATTTGCAAATGATGAAATGTATTGCAGGTAATTTTACTATAAAAATGTATATTTATACTTTATTAATGTATTGCTTGTCATATTGCTATAAAATGTATTACTACTGAGCAGTTTGCTATCGAAATGTATTACTAGACTTTCTTAGTGAACCACTAAGCAAAAATCAAAATACTATCTTCCCATAGCTGGGACCCTAACAGGAGCTACCACCATGAGTCAGGGCGAGCCTACAAACAACAGCAATTAAGCGGCGGTTCCACGCTCCTCACAAACTACCAGTCTCCCGATCGATTACTGCCAGATGTAGTTTACCGTCATACTCAGGACTAGCACTGGGATAGGGAAAGATGTATCCCATAATCTAAGCTAATAGTAATATCTAAGGTTTTACGTTGGAATAGAGAAAGGTGCCTTCCAGAAACTAAGCAAAGTATTAAGAAAAATTAAAATATCGTTAGAAGCAAAGAATAGAGAACTGAACTTCTGCGTAATATCTAATGTTTTACATTAGCATCGGGAAAGCAGTTTTCCAGAAACTAAGCAAAGTCTTAACAAACAGAAAAATCTTCGTTAGAAAATAGAATTGAATTGTTATGTAATATCGGTCCTCCTATATGGTAGTGAATGCTGAGAAATATCCACAGAAGAGACTTTAAGCAAAAGAAATGTACTTCTGCAGAAACCGAATATGTGATCAGTGCCAAGGGTCAAGAGAAAATGCAAACAAAAGGAACACTTACGCTTAACCTCGGGAAGGGACAGTTGAAATGTCTAGGACATATCATGAGAAAAGCAGGCTTGGCAAATTTGATGATCACATGACATATGAAAGGCAGAAGGGACAGAGGGAAAGAATATATAGCTTACTTAGAGAACTTAAGTGGGCGGGTGGACAAGGTTTATGAGAGATACAAAAATAAACTTTTTCAGGAGTTATAAAGGATAAGAAATTGTGGAGAGCCATGATCGACAACTTTCTGAAGAGAAACCTGCATAGAAGAAGATGAATTATTTCAAAAATACACCTCATTCTTGTATTCAATAATAGACTTAAGTTTATTGATAAAAGTCATAGATTTATTCATTGCAGAAAATATAATTACTTAAATATGGCCATCAGTTTTTGATGGTATGTATCGTGTGAGCTTTATTTCAATATTTTTTATTTTAATGCTTTTAGAAAACACCAAAATTAATTTTAAACGTGACAATAGATTTGACAGTACGGATAAAAAAACATTCGATTACTCATGTAACCGAGGCAATTATAAACTTAATTAAATATGACCGATAATTTTCGCAGTACTATTTATATTTGCATTTTCTGGATATTTTTAGAATTAATAATTCAAAAAGATTCTGTCTGAAGTGCGACATTACATTTATTTCATTCAATTTATTCAGTTAGCGCATTTTGCATCGCTGTGGTCACCATTCTCCCCTCCATCTTACAGGCGTGGTTCATGGTGATATTCAAGCGAGATCAGTGTAATAACTTGCCAGTTCCTTTTGCCCTGGGGGTGTTATCGCTATCTCCTTCCTCCTTTGTGAATGCAAAGTCGCAAGACCTACAAAGTAGAAGATGGTTTGAATTCATAGTTTTCCTTCTCCTAGACTGGTTGCCAAGCAAGGCTATAAGAAACCCTTCGGCCTCGTAGCTCAGCTGATTAGAGCGCCAGACTATTAAACTGGAGGTCGAGAGTCCTAATCTATCTGGAGCCTACCGGTCATTAACATGTTGTTCATAAATTACTATAAGTACTTTATGCACATTACTTATCATCTCTCAGTTGCGTCTCTGTCCTTGGCCAGAGTGCGCTCAGGGGCTTCTCTGTCAAAAGACAGAGGGGCAACTGAGGAAAATTATATTGAAGAGGTGCCCAGTCCTGGGGAACAGCTGCCCGAGGCCGCGCCCTCCCATTGCATCAGAGGGAGGGATCGGTGCTCGCACCGAGGCCAGAGCAACCAACGGTTGCGGGGTCTGAGGGGAATTTTTGACCCTGCTTGGGTGCACGCCTTCGGGTCCCCACGTTAATCCGACCTGAATGAGTAAACGCCGCAAGGCTATAGAAACCTGCCTATCTTGCTATTTACCTATAGCTAGGTGAGGGAAGAGTTAGATTCATACATTTCCCCAAGGGTATTAGCACGTGAGTAAATGCAATGAACCCGACTGGAATTAGAACCGTTATCTATTAATCCACCTTGCCTCTAGCACTTAAGCCTCAGGTGTGATGTATTCTTGGTATAAGGCACAATATCATCGTTCCTCATGTCATCATTTTTCCTATGCCAAGCCTGATGCCTCCGTTCCTTTCCGTTCCGCCATCTATTCACACAAGTCTGTCAGGTAAGCGTCGTGAAAGCGAGTTTGTGGTGTGACCAACATAAATATTATTTAATTCGTTGGAGATACACTCTCCCAAAGGGCACTTGAATTTATAAACTATGTTGGTTTTTTGCAAATCGCTAACCGGGGGAGAAGAATCATTTCACGACGCTTGACACTACATTTTAATGAAAACTCTAACATTTTTAGGCATTTAAAACAACATGCTTCGACATGAAAACAATAGAC